CGTGTAAAAGTGCCGTTATATGGCCTATTTGCAAAAATAAATTCATTGTTTCATTGACAATCATCCATAGACTAAACTTTTTAGTCGATTAACTATTTCAATAAATCGTTATAGTGTAACAATAGGTAGGTACATGACATCATCAGCCTATGAGTTTCCACTGCTGAACAAGGGTTTCTTCTTACACGTAGACCGTTTGAGCATATCACCATGCTTTCTCAATGCATATTGGTGAATTCAAACTTATACCTAATTAGAATAGTAGTAGCTTTCGTGAGAAACAACTTATCCTCGTGAATTCAACTCTGCTCGCGAATAAGAGCCCCCGTTGTGACTTGAAACTTAAAAAAAAAAAACATTGTCCCGCACTATGATTTTCTCCTGTGTCGTGGGTGCGCTTACAAACACTAAATTTCACATACACATGACACCCAGACCCGAAACAACAATTTGTGGATCACACAAAGAGTTGTTCCGTGCGGGAATCGAACCCGCGACACGTGGCAGGGCAGCCAGTTGCCCAGCCGCAGCGGCTGGGCAACTGGCTGCCCTTCCACGTAGGCACTGGCTAACCAACCGTGCAGTCAAAGGATTCGAACACATCATTACCTGTCTATACAAGTCGAAGTCCTTAGGCCAGTTTTAATATGTCACATTGAAATTGCATACACTAATGAGATTGCTTTAAAATTTCTAAGTAATTACTTTTACATACATACGTAGGTAAATATGTATTTGTTTATAAATACCTACCTTTATATCTTTTACATTGGAATGCGGTGACAATCTACTGAATGTCCTTGTGAATGTTGTTTTAATGGTTTTATCTGAATTGTAGCAAAATTTTTGTAAGCGGGACTCCCCTTGCCAAAAGCTAATGCCGTCTACTTTTACTTATTCAATAAAATATTTATTTTTTTCCTCAACGTTAAGTTTGGGAGAGCCATGCTTCGGCACGAATGGGTCACCTCGACCGGAGTGATACCACAGCCTCACAGAAAACCGGCGTGAAATAACCACAGCGTTGTGTTTCGCCGTGTGAGTGAGGTTACCGGAGGCCCAATCCTTCCCCTTCACCAATCAAATCAAATCAAATCAAATCAAATTCTTTATTTCAAATAGACCAAAAAAGGCACTTTTGAACGTCAAGCAAAAAAGATATCATAAGGTTTAACTTTATGTGTCAGTCTGTCCATCTGTCCTCTAGTGAAGCTATTTGCTCGTTCCAAAGTGTAGATTCCTATGGAGAAGAACGAGCAAGAAACTCCATGGTTACTCTTTTTCAATCACTTTTTACAATGCATTGTTACATAATTTCCCTCCACAATCCCAAAATTTCCAAATCCCTATTCTCTAAAAGGTCGGCAACGCACTCGTAACTCCTCCGTTGCGAGTGTCCATTGGCGACGCTGATTGCTTACCATCAGGTAATCCGTCTGCTCGTTTGCCGACCTATTACATAAAAAAATCTAGGGTTTTTTTAACGTATATAGCTTCAATTCCTAGTCCTTTTTTTTGTGATTTTTTGTGGGTGCATACAAACATACAAATATACGAACCCACTACTCCCAGACCTGATATAATGTGGATACCACAAAACAAGTTGCTGCCGATTACTAGCCTACTGCGTCAACTGTGCAGTTTTAATTGGATCTAATATTATTTACACATACCTCTGTATAATGATGATATGTATTTTTAGAAGCTTTTTGAAAAATTTTATACCATTACAATACCTAGACTACTCGGTATTAATTAGTGATACCTAGGACTGTCCAAGCAAAGCTGAAAGTTCCTGACAATCCAAAGGAAAATTGATGAAACATTTTCAGGATAATATCTGTAAATGCGATATATTATGATTTGTGTAGCAATACCGTTTTTTCTGAGCGTAAAATCATTAAATGACTTCTCCCGCCCAGGGTGGGGAGAGAGTGAGTGTCAGACTCTTACTGATTTAAAACCCTCAGTTCCTTCTCCTGCTCTACGCCGAGGCCGCAGTACTTCATTGCGCTTGCCCCGCAACCGGCTGCAATAATGTAAATGAGGTAGATTTTTTAGTTAGTAAGAGCACTCAGACCGGGAGAAGTCACTCAGCTGATGATTTAGCTGATTTTATAGTTCTGAAATTGTTATTAAATGGAACTATTATGAAATATTCAACCTATGTGTAAATCATTACATAGACATAGTATAAGAAAGTCGCTTGCTCTGTCTCTTTATCCCTATGTACGTTTAAATCTTTAAACTACGCAATAGATTTACGGATTTTATATGTAGGTATAATAAAATTCATTAGATTATGAATAAGTGGGAAGCCGGGGCGGGTCGCTAGTATGCTAAAAACAATAAATTTATCTACATATCTACCTATTTATAAAAGTCATCTTACATCAAAATGTGGATGCATGTATTTTTTTCTCTCTACATTAAAGAAACATTAGCTTGTCAAAACAAAAAAAAAGCTAGATAGGATACAAAATGGCTGGTTTAATTCTGTTAGTCATCATTAGCTTTAAATTTTTTGTTCGAGCAATTTAAGCACTGAATATATTATATACCTATTATACATAAGATGCTAATTAGTTAAATTTACTTTTTATCAGAAACAAAAAGGTGTCAGTTGGATGTCGTCTTAGGCTCTCAAGAATTTTCTAGAACATTTATAGTAGTTAGCTTTCAAAACTTAAAACTCAATCTTATTATTACATTTTTACTGTCTTCATCATATAATTATATTAGGTATAATAAACTTCAGCACGCAACGTCTTACGCGTAAAATAATAATATGAGCAGATTTTCTTTTGTTCAATTCCATTCAAACCCGTCCATTAGTTTCGGAGATTAGCGTTTGCAACAGGCAAACACGCATTTAATATACAGACATATTTTCAACTGTTTTATTTTTGTATGTACTAATTATACAGATAAGTACATTATATTATATAACCAATGCTGTTATCCCATGAGTAATTAACTATTATCATTAATAAAAAAAATTGAGTAAATATAATTATTGTTGTTTGAATACCGATACAATTAATATGAAAACTCAAGTAATTTTATTATATACATATCTTTAATAAGCTGTTTTGAATTCAAAAGAACAAATGAATGTCAAAATTTTTTTTGTATTTAAATGTTAATGTTTTTTTTGTCAGCCATTTTGACATTAGGCTATACAACGGTTGCTATGTAGGTATTATATTTTATTTTGAGTCATAAAAATGTCGACGAAATACTAAATCTATAAATGAATCTTTCCTACCACATAGTATAACCTAATTAGCAGTTTCATGTTAAATAAAAAAACTATTCTTAATGTTTCTTACGAACAAAAAATCAATTGAGACTTGCATTTATTAACATTAGCTTTTTTTGTGTGGGGAAAATCATCAAATGACTTCTCCCCCCAGGACGGGGCGAGAGCGTGTCTGACTCTTACTGACTAAAACTCCCCCCGTTCCTTCTTCTTCCAGGCCAACCCCGGCTATTAACATTAGCTAAGGTGCAAACAGTACAATGAAACCAGTTCGATCTCTTTCACACTGTTGATAAACAAGTCATGAAAAAAAAGACAAAAAACTAAAATAATATTTAAGAGAGTCCTCAACAGGTGATTGACCCACTGCGTTACGAAACAAGTTGCTTGCCGTGACCTCTAGCGGAATTAATAATAATTAATGGTAAAACTGCATAGGTATAGACTATCAGAATGTGATTGTGTAACAAAAATATGCAAGCGTTATTATCTAAAAATAAATTGTTTAATATCCAAGCGTAGTCCGTTTTAAAAGATCGACAACGCACCTCTGACTGCACTGGTGTAGTGGGTATCTAATGGGCAACGCTGATCACTTACCATCATGTGATCCGTGTGCTCATTTGCCTCTCATTAAGTAGGTACATAAAAATAAAATAGATTTTCTGAGTCAGTCTGGGCGGTGTCTGGTCGTCACATAGATCAGGAACTATAATTTATGCATCTTATAATGAATTGTTTAAATCGAATCCGCGAAACAGCACGGCAGTCAATTGCCCAACCATCGCGTTGGCCGTGCAGTCGAACTACTAGATTAAAATCGTTCTTACATTTATAATTGACTTATTTAATTCATCGTTTTTATTATTAAAAATTTCGCAAACACACTGACTAGTGGTGATGAAAGAAACATTTTTTTTTTCTTTAATCCTGACATTATAATTAAAATATCTTTATCATTATGAGATAGTTACGTCAAATTTGAAACTGTCTCTGTAAATAGTTGTCAATATTGTTTTACTCTATTTTGTGACAAAAGAAATGTACAAATGTAACAGACACTTTTTTTGAGGCGAGTTTGGAATCAAATGACTTCATCCACCCTGGTAGGTCGAGAGGGAGTGTCAGACTCCTACTGACTAAAAACCAACTAGTTCCTTCCCTACTCCAGGCTGGGACCGCGGCTGTATATAAACCCTATTAAGCCTCATTTATGGTGGTATATTTGAGGCGCGTACATCGCTGTGCACCGTATGCTAACATTCTCCGATGATTTTTTGAGGGCAGAAGATGACTTTTTCCGAGTTATATGTACTTTCTATGATTATTTAGGCACCACTGACATACGGTGAAGGTAAACATCGTGAGGAAACCTGGACTTATAATTTCTAATTATAAGTTTGAAATCGCCAACCCGCATTGAGCAAGCGTGGTTATCAATGCTCTAACCTTCTCCTTATGAGAAGAGGCCTTTGACCAGCAGTGGGCACTTATAGGCTGATGATAATGATGATGATGAGAAGATCATCAAACTGCTTCTGAACACTAAAAAGCGCCCTGTTCATATTCTCCTGCTCAGTGCCAGGGTGGTACATAAATGCGCTTGCAGCTGCAAACTAGTTAATTTCTGATAAACTTGACTCCAGAATTTGAAACCATATGCCATGCATTTATACAGGTACCAACTGTGAAGTTTATTTTATTTTTATTCTTTACTAAGCTTTTTGTTCTTTCCCAGGGGTATGATTGCCTGCCTGGGTATGATGGTTGCCCGACTGAGCGCATTCGCTGGCACAAACATACTGAGCGGTGCTATGACTGACCACTGCTCAGTAGCACTGTATTCCGGGGCTGGTATCGTACTCAGTAAGTATTTCTACTTAGTTCAATGTCCTTACGACTATAGTTGTCTACTGCGTTAACAGAGAGTTCTAATGCGACAATCCTGCGAAAAACTAATCTAACTGTGGGAGACCATACTTCGATATAAATAGCTTCGACCGGAATGAAACCATGGCCTCACGGAAAACCGGCGAAAAACGTCCCTTTTTGTGTTTCGTCGTGGGATTGAGGCTACTTGTTACTCCCTAAGTATTGTGGATGTCCTTGGGCGTTGCTTAATATCAGGTGGGCAACACGTATAATACAATAATTCTATTGCGATTCACGAGTTAGGTTCGATTTATATCACATCTCTTTGTTGGAATGTTAGCCCCTCTTTCTACAGTATACAATAACGTGCATGTAGTAAAGTTATCTTCTATATAAATAAAAATGAATTATTGTTCGTTAGTCTGATTAAAACTAAATAATGGCTGGGCCGATTGAGCTGACTTTGTTTTTAAAATGTTTGTCGTAGTCCAGGATAGGTCTAAGCGGTGAGCAAACAAGTGTGTTTGAGACTTACTAAATATGCCTCCAATAATTAGGCGGTACGAAGTTCGCTGGGTCAGCTAATGTAAGATAAAAAAGAAGGTTTAAAACCTTCTTTATGTAGAGTACAAGGTTTTTAAACATATATAATCTGACTGCACGCTTGGCGCGGTGGCTGGGCAACTGACTGTCGCACAACGTGTCGCGGGTTCGATTCCCGCACGGAACAACTCTTTGTGTGATCCACAGATTGTTGTTCCGGGTCTGGGTGTAATGTGCATGTGAAATTGTATGTTTGTAAACGCACCCACGACTTAGGAGAAAATCCTAATGTGGGGCAACGTTTTTTTTTTAACAGAATAAAAGAAGAATAAAAATACCAAGTATTAAAATAATATACTACTAAATCTACAACATTATGGACAAATTTTTTGTTTCATTGTTTCAGGTGGTGCTGTAGCGGCTTTGTTCTTACCTTCAGACCGTTCTATACGATCGTGATTGAAAACTTAAGTTTCTACATTTAATATTATAAAATAAGTACTTAGTAAATAAATATGATGACAGTTACAACTTCAAAATGTCTTTTATTTATTGTCACTTTCCAAATTCGTTCTAAAACTGCAACTATTCACCGAGAAATGGGCAAAAGTGTGTTTCAAATTGGTGACCTCACTGCTATTTTGAAGTCACTCACCAAAAATGTCGATATAGATCCGATGATAATGATTTGTGTGTAAATGAATCATGTTTCAATACCAAGATGTCACAGAAAACCGACATTAAACAACCCATGTGAGGGTGGTTACCAGAGGCCCAATCCTCTCCTCTTCCTCCAATCCCTAATCTCCAATTACCGAAATCACCAACTCCTTATCTCTTACCCCCTTTCCCCGAATCCCTAATAATCCCATTAAGGCCGGCAAAGCGCTCGTAACTCTTCTAGTGCCGATGGGTGGCGCCGATTGCTTGCCAGGTGATTCGTATATCGTTTGATGCCGTATTCCATAAAATAATAACATTCCAGGATAGGAAGGATCAATCTAAAAATTCGTGGGGGCCCGAAGGTTAAGCAGCCCGCTTCTCATGCATGAGGGCGCAGGTTCGAAACCTGGCAAGTACCAAAGTGACTTTTTCCGACTCATATGTACTTTCTATGATTAAATAGACACCACTGACATACGGTGAAGGAACACATCGTGAGGAAACCTGTACTTATAATTTCTAATTATAAGTTTGAAATCACCAATCCGCCTTGAGCAAGCGTGGTGATTAATGCTCAAACCTTCTCCGTATGAGAAGAGGCCTTTGCTCAGCAGTGGGCACTTATAGGCTAATGATGATGATGATGATGAACCTAAAAATTACTACCAGAAGTATGACCTTTTCGGAGTATTTACGTTTTTACGTAATTTGATACTTGGTGTAAATTAAATAACTTATTGTGAAAGTTCAATGTCCTGCTACTACGCAGTTGGGAAAGGTCAGTAAAAAAAATGCAACTCCATAAATATGACCGCTAATGACATTTTACGACTTTTCCCAACTCGCTCTTGGCTCCGATTTCGCAAACGTGATTAATTTATAATGATTAAACATTTCCAAAAATTCCATTGTGATGGTTTACATTCTTACTTATTATAATAGATTATATTATGTGATGAGTTTTTGCATTTATTTATGACTGACTGTTTTGAGTTTATTAGTTTTATAGATTTTTTTTTTGGACATTGTCAGGTCTTTTAGATTTGGGGACAGTTTAAATTTGTCTTTGTATGTGGTCAATCTAATTAGTACATAATAATATGTACAAGGTTTTTACGATGGTCGTGGTGGCCCAGAGGTTAAGGCGTCTAGCAAGTACATATTGTCTGAGTTATACATATGTAGGTACGTTCTATGATTATTTAGATACAATTTTTTTTACTTGATATAAACTAGTGCTTGACTGCGATCCCACCTGATGGTAAGCAGTGATGCAATCATTGATGGTGAGGCGCACTAGTTTATTAAGAGCCTATTCACTCTAGCCTTGAAGTCAAAAATGTCATAAGGTGAACAAAAACATCGTGAAGAAAACCTGGATTTATTAATTATAATTTTGAAATCGTCAATCCGCCTTCAGCAAGCGTGGTGATTAATGTTCTTACTCTCTTCAAACCTTCTCCGTGTGAGAAGTGGCCTTTGTTCAGCAGTGGGCACTTGTAGTCTGATGATGTGATGTGAAGGTGTTTGTGTCCTATCTGCCTCGTGCAAGTGGGATGATTTATGCTGCTTCTCATGTGAGATGACTATGCCTTACGACAACAACGAAGCAATGACAAACAAATACAAAATTGCGGAGCTTCTTCAAACCATGAAACTTTTCGCTCAGCCTTTGGTAAAACTGGGTAAAACTATCGATACTAAGGCAAGTACCTAACGGGAGGGATTCTCCAACAGGGAATCCCCCGTACACACTCGGAAATTCTACCCAAACCGGTTGCCGACTCCTGGAACTGTCGACCAAAAGGTGATTGTGGTCAGTTTATTATCGATTCAAGGAATTTAATCTTGCATATTTTAGAACTTGAATGCACTGTTAGCGTAGTTGTAAGATTACCTTCAGCTTTACAATATGTCGCGGTTTCGATTCCCGCATGGATTAATTATTTTTGTGTTCCGCAAATTAATGTTCAGACTCTGGGGGTGTTTTTAAACGCGTCCACGGTACAGGAGACTTACGATACAGGAAAAAATCCAAGCATGTTGCAATTAAAAAATATTTTTTCTATAAGGGGCCAAATCATCAAATGAGTTCTCTCGCCGTGTGTAAAGCGAAAGGGAGTGCCAGGCTCTTACTGACTAAAAACCACCCTGTTCCTGACGGAGTCCTGCCCACGGAGTTCCGTACCAGGGACGCGGTACATGATTCTGCTTGTACCCGTAACACCTGGCTACACATCTGCCCTAATGGGTCCCATCTCTGGTAGTCTAAAATATCTATGATTCGCGTTGATGGGCAGCCAGCTACCTTTGCTCGCCGTCCGCAGTACCGCGCTTACGGCAGCTGGACAAGGAAACGTTTTGTAGATATATTTGGTGGATATAATATATCACAATTACTTATAACATTATTTTTAGATACTTAGTTTTGATTAAATATTAAATACTAAAAAATCCAATCCCAAAATAAACTTAATAACAGACTTATTTCGATGCCCATTAGCTGGCTAGCACTACATCTAACTCATTGGTTTGATGTTGTTTCATTCAACTCAGTGTGACAGGCAAACACCAGATCTTAAGTTCCTCTCCCGGGTGCGCAATGGGGCAGGAGAAGGAACGGGGGGAGGGGGGGGGGGTTTAGTCAGTAAGAGTCTGACACTCTCGCCTAACCCTGGGCGGGAGAAGCCATTTGATGATTCTCCCTTGACAAAAAAAAAAGTTTCTCTCCCGGATGGATAAGGTGATAAATAAATATAGTTTTTGATATCGAATATTGTCCAAGACATTAATCATGTCGATTATGTTCATGGCCATGATCCTTTGTTTTTGTTGTACATTTCCACAATGTTGCTGATAAAGTAAGAGTTGAAATTAAATGTATCTATCAATCGTTGATTGATGACCTAAAGTAGGAATGTCATCCTAATGACGAAAGTGTTAAAGTACAATACATAAGCACTGGGTCAAACTTTCTCACAAGACTTGCTATGATGAAAAATCATCCACAAATTGTGGTTTCAGGTCTTGGTGTATTATGTATTCGTTTTTAAGCACACCCATGATACAGGAGATAATATTAATGTACATGCCCTGTGTAGTTTAAATAAAATCTTTATTGAAAAATCATGAAGGTACGTCAAAATGTGCAAGTCCTAAAATGTCCGATTGATCTACATTCAAGCTGTACAAAATACAAAATTATGTTTTGGATAGGTCACAAATAAATACAGCAAACTTTTAAGAATAAATTAACATTTCATAATAAGAAACTGCAGGTCATTTTATTGAATAATTGAATCAATAAAAACGATGATTTTAAAAAATTAAGATGTATTTTAAATGAATAGACGAATCATTTTAAAACACATTTCACTGTAAGATATTATATTTTTTGTTCAAATGAATTTTAAACAGCAGTTAGACAGACAGTTGTGAATTAAGGTTTATGATTTTATAAACATAACTAACTAACTAACTTATAATAAGGAATTAACTTTTTAAACTTAATTAACCAACATCTTCAAGCTCATGCAAATAGTTGAGAGTACAAGAAAGTCTTAAATTTTCACGGAAAACGCAGCAAGTAAGATTTCGTTAATTATATTCGAATTATAAATAAATAAATTTAAATTTTTAAATTAGTTATTCTTTACATTACTAAAGTATTAAAACAACAGATAATAAATAACTTCTCCATCATTTAAACAAGTATAAGATTATGTACAATAAAACCATTGTTAAAGTGATCATCCTTTTGTTAACTCGTATAATTATAGGTAATATAAATATTATAATTAAGTACTAAGTAATAAACTTACTATGTAAGAAGTACAATATACTTCCTCGAAGTAAAATCTTTATGTGAAAAGAGCAACAATATGTATTTTACAAGGAATACAAAAGCAACTCTGGACGTCAAGCCAACAAGCCTTCGACCTTCATCATATCATTAATATATTATTTTATTTATGATCATTACCTTAATCATAATTTTAAGTGTGGAAGAACCTTACTTCGCTACAAATGGGCCAGCTCAGCCAGAGTCATACCACGGCGTCACAGAATACCGTCGTGAAACGACACTCACCGAAGGCCCCCATCCTCAATCCACAAAATCCCCAAACCCTAAATCCCTAATAACCCACAAAAGTCAACAACCCACTTGCAAGAACTTCTTTAGTATTGCGAATGACCGAGCGGCGCCGATTGCTTACCATCAGGTAATCTTTAAGCTTGATTGCCAACCTATCCCATAAAAAATGGATTGATCTAGTTTAACTGTTTTAATTCTCTAAAACAAAACTATGTATGTACCTATGTACACGAGACGGATATCAAAGGAATTCCGTGGCAGTCTCGTTTGCGATCACTCGACCTACGATGCAGTTCTCTGAATACTTTTTAATAGGTACATTTTTGGTGGACATGATTAGGGCTTTAACATATTTATATTTATAACTTTAGCATGTAACGTAGTTAGACGCCATTAATCATCATCATCGTTATAATCATCAGTTTATAAGTACCCACTCCTGAATATAAGACCCTTTCCACACAGGTAAGGTTTTAGCATGATTTTTTACGCTTGCTAAAGGTAGGTGATAGATGTCTCTGACAATTCATAAATATACATATTACTCAAACTATTTCTTATCTTCTAAACTACATTAAAATAAATTTTATTTAAGAAAAACTTTGAATTAATTCGAATGGTATGGAGTTGTTTGAAATTGTTGAATTCGTGATGACTCTTCTGATATTCACAAAGTTCACAAAAAAATTGTGATGTTTCATTTTTA